TCCCCCCCCTTCTCTTCCATCTCCCTGCTGCGCGTGCAGCAATGGGGGAGGGGGTATGGGGGTGGCGGGTGTGAGTAACCAGCTGCCGCCCCTCCTCCTCTCTCTCCCACTGCCGCATATACTGCTGTGGGGGGGGAGGGTGTGGGGGAGACGTGGGAGTGGCGGTAGGGATGCCGAAGGTGTGAAGGGGGGGTTTGGGAAAATGGAGGAGGTTGAAGGGGGGGTGGCCGCCGTGAAGTTAACAGCTCGAGTCGCCCGTGAGCCAGTTGCTCAAGTCGCCCGTAAGACCGTTGCTCCAGTCGCCCGTGAGCACGTTGCTCTAGTCGCCCGTGAGTCAGTTGCTCCAGCCGCTTGTCTAGCCACGGAGCCAGTTACTCCAGCTGCACGTGTGCCAGTTGCTCCAGTTGCCAGTATGCCAGTTTCTCCAGTTGCCCGTGTGCCAGTCGCTCCAAGTCACTCTACGGCATAAAAAAAGCACCACGCCTCTTGCAGCAGCACATGAACAAAATCCCACTCGGAATAGGATTTCCATAGCTGCCACATAACCCAGGCATGTATCGTCTACATTTCTGCGGCGACTACATCTTGCTCACGGTTTACGCCGACGATTTGCTTTATACGAGGACAAGCAACACGCTACTCAACCAGTTCGAAAGGAATCTGGCGATGCGCGTCGACATCACTACTAATAATGACGTAAAACTGTTCCTGGGCCTCACTATATCCTACGTGCCAGAGGCCATTCATCTCTCGGCTGCTAAGTACGCCAAACCACTTGGCAAACGCTTCAACATTTTGCCTGCACCGCTCTCCACCCCTTACCGCACTCCTGGACCGAACCACAGGCCTGACAACAAAGCCCTATCCCCTGCTGGCCTTCAGACTTACTAGCAGCGACTGGATGCTGTCAGAATTATGTTGTTATAACTGCATGTAGTTCTAGTTGTAGTGTAGTTATTAACTTTGTAGGTGGTGCACCTCTTCATTTGTTTGCTATATGTACCCTCGTGCTATAGTGAACATCATCATTCTCGACTCCTCCTTGGCACACCTCTCTCAACTCCCCTTGGCCTAGGCTACTAAGCCTAGGCCCTCACTTAAACCTACACCCCACTTGTGCTACTATCTTGACAGATGCTGCTCTTTGCCTCAGTGACGTGCAGACCAGATCTCTCGTACATCGCGAGCCAGATGGCTCAGTTTTCCCTGCAAACCGACGACTTTGAATATTCTAGATCTCTAGCGCGCCTTGCAATTCTTTATCTCCACGCCCAACATTGGGCTCTGCTACTCAACAGTGACGAACCCGTCCTTCAACCTCATCGGCTACATCGACGCCGATCATACTGCAGACCCCGACAATTGTCATTCCAGAACCAGGTTCCTGTTTCGCCTCGAGCCAACAGGGCCCATCTCCTGGAACTCGCAGAAGCAGGAACTGGTTGCCTTGTCATCGGCGGAAGCTGGATTCATCACCGCAACAGCAGCAGTTTGCGAGGGACTCTACCTGCGGGGACTTCTGTAAGAGGTGAAAATTCCAGTCTCACCAAACATTTAGCCAGCACTATAACAACCACAACGCGATCAGAATCGCGAACAAACCGGGATTCGTCAACTACACCAAACATATTACGCTGCGATATTTCTTCTTCAAGGACGAAGTGGGCACAAGCAAGGTCGACTTGACCTATTGCCTGACGGGTGACATGGCAGTCAACTTCCTCATAAGGCGACTACCGCGTCAGCAGTACCAGCACTGCTCCGAACTCAGCGGAGTAGTCAAGCGAGTCAAGACTTGCTACGACGAGGAATGAAGGGGGGTGTTACGAATAGTAAAATGAAAAGTGTCGCTGTGCATTCCTGCTAGTAGCAAGATCGAGGCACACAAAAGAGAGTATGAAGGCGAAGGGTCGAAGCGACACGTATAGTTACGAAGCATCTGGACTGGACCGTCGGAGGAGTCAGCATTAGGCAACTACAGGAGCAAAGAATTTGGCGGGAACAATTTCGTAACTGTCTACGCCACACGGTTGGGTTTGAATTCGATTAAGGGAATGTACCCCTTAGTGTACATAGCTAGTCTACGACTTTTCGTATTCCCCTGTACTCTTATATAGACCACTTGCTGTATTTGCATGTTTTAATCATCTCAATCATTTGAAATCTACTCTGACATATGGTCAATATCTTCCGCTGCAACACTCTACTACTGCGAACCTTCATGAGGTGATCCTAGGCAAGATCAATCTCCTGATCGCTACAGTTCTCACACTCATCCAGTACAAGAATTTGCAGAAGCTTTTGCTGCAGTACTAGATCAAGACTAAACTCTAAAAGATCGTGTAGCTATTTTTCAGTTTACCACTTATCACCCAGCAAAGCAAGCATTTTAGGATTGAAATACTGTATGATTTTTTCATAATGGACCCACATGTTTCCTACGCCAGCCCTAGATAGTCACACAAAGATTGACTTATCCCATTTCTTATTATATCCCAGACGAATCTTTCATTCTCAAGCAAAATCGGCCTTCTCTCGTGTTAACATCGCACCAATTCTTAAGGAGGTACATGTCGAGTCAACGCCATAAGTGCGCTGACATTTCTGTCGCTTTCGCGAGTCCAGACAACTTCTGTGGTTGCCTCAGGCTTGCAACGATTGCGCAGGGTTGCTGGTGTGCTGTGGCGACAATAGGTTTCGTAGTTAGTCCGTTCCGTACCGTTACATGAAGTGTAGATTCAGCTAGTAGCGACGCTCGAGCCGTGCCATTAATAGGGTTTCGTTCTTTTCAAACGCATTGTCTTCGATTTCCGCGAGCAGCATCCTTCGTCCGTAGACTTCGCGCAGCCCTCATTTCGCGCACGTATTCTTCGCACATACCGCTCGCATGTGTCGCCCACACGTCGCACGGTGTCGTCGGGGGCGCCAGCAACAGCGCGCCGCGAGAACCTCTTGCGTGGTGTTGCTTCTGGCGCTCGTTTCTGCCTTCCCGCAAAATGCGGCATCTATCGCGGCCAGCTTGCCACCTGGCGCGGCCACCCCGCTGGAGCAGCAAGCAGAGCGTGAGCGGCTTTTCACTTGCGCTTACCCAGCTCCCGCGCCGCTCTCACCACGCTCTCCCCGCTCACCACGCTCTCCCGACCCTCTCCTCTGTCCGCGCTCTCCTCTCTCTGCTCTCTGCTCTCTGCTCTCTGCTCTCTGCTCTCTGCTCTCCTCATCTCCTCTCCTCCTCTCCTCCTCCCCTGCTCTCATCCAATCCTCCTTTCATTTCCTCACTGCCTTCCCAAATACTGCCCGCGCCTCCGCCCCCCTTCCTTCCCCCTTCCCCATCCGCCTTCCACCTTTCCCATTTCCGCACACAGGCGAAGCGCCACTGGCGTTCTGGGGGGCGATGGGGCTGCGGGCGAGCGGGGGCTGCGCCGCACCATCTTTCCACTGCGTAACCTTCCCTTCCCCCCGCCCACTTCCTCTCCCTCCTTTTTCCTCCCTGGACAGGCGATGCACTGCTGGCGTTCTGGGGGGCGATGGGGCGAAGCGAGGGGCTGCGGGCGGGCGGGTGGGGGGGTAGGCGGGTGGGCGGATGGGCGGGTGGGCGAGTGGGCGCCTAACCTTCTCCTCCCTTCCCGTACACCGCCTATCCATGCTCCCCCCTCTTCCTTCTCCCCGCCCCCCCTCACAGGCGCAGCGCTGCTGGCGTTTTGGGAGGCGACGAGGCGAAGTGAGGGGCTGCGGGAAAGCGGGCGAGCGGGCGAGCGGGCGAGCGGGCGAGCGGGCGACCATCTCCCTACTGCCTTCCGCTACCGCCCTGTCCACGCCCCTGGTCCTCCCCCCCCATTCCCCGTTTCCCTCCTTTCAGGCGCAGCGCTGCTGGCGTTCTGGGAGGCGATGGGGCGCAGCGAGGGGCTGAGGGCGAGCGGGTGGGGCAACGCGTCTCTGCCTTGTGACCCGCAAAAACCGCCATGGGGAGGCGTGCACTGCAGTCCCACAGGGCACGTGGACGGCATGTGAGTGACATGTATAGCATGGCATGGCATGGCATGGCATAGCATGGCATGGGGGGGCGTTCACTGCAGCCCCACAGGGCACGTGGACGGCATGTGATGGTGTGATGGTGTGATGGTGTGATGTAATGTAAGGGAGGGGACAGACAGCATTGCATGCCATGCCACGCCATGCCATGCCACGCCATGCCATGCCACGCCATGTCATGCCACCACATGCATGCCACCACCACATGCGATTTCCCTGGCCCCTTACATCCTGCTGCATGCGAAGAAGCTGCCCTTCAAGGGAACGGAGTTCCCTCAGAGGCAACAGCTGCAGAATTTGAGGCAATGAGGGTTCTCCGAGCGGGCATGCTTGTCACTACTCTTCTTCTCTCTTCATGCCCGCTCTTCCCTTCTCACCACACCACCACCACCCCATGCCCGCCCCACGCCATGCCAGCGAGCTGGCGTTTAAGGGACTGGAGTCCCCCGCAGGGGAAGCAGCTGCAGCTCCCTTGAGTGTCCCACCCTTGAGTGTCTCAAGGGGCGGATGCCGTGGGCGGGGCAGATCCGTTGAGTGGGCACGATTCTCATTCTTGTGCTCTTGTTCCTGTGCTGGCCTGGCCCCATACCTTCCCATGGCACACGCCATGCCAGCGAGAGTAGTTTCCTCAGGGACAACAGCTGTAAGGGCAGGTGCCTTGAGGGGGCATGCTTCTTATTCGTCTTTTCCTCTCCTCATGCCGGCTCTTCCCTTTTCACCACCAGCGAGCTGCCGTTCAAGGGAGTGGAGTCCCCCCAGGGGAAGCAGCTGCAGGGGCAGGTTCCGTGCATGCTTCTCGTTCATCTTTTCCTGCTCTCGTGCGGCCTCTTCCCGTCCCACCACCACCACCCCCACGCCCATCCCTTCCCACCACCAGTGAGTTGCCGTTCAAGGGAGAGGAGTCCCTCCAGGGGAAGCGGCTGCAGGGGCAGGTGCCGTGGGCCTCCATGACAGCCCTCTCGCGTCTCACAATGCTCGACCTCAGCTTCAACCAGGCCTCAGGCCCTCCTGTCACCCCTGCTGTCACCGCCTTCACTGCCCTCCAAGCACTGTGAGTCAACATTTGCGGCGATGCAGCAGCTGCAGGTGCAGGTGCCAGTGCCAGTGAGAATTTTCGAAAGGTAAAATCAACATAGCAGCTGCAGGGGCAGGGGCAGGGCAGGTACCAGTGCCATGGGTGGCGGGCATGACACGAGAGCCATGGGTGGCGGGCATGACATGAGAGCCATGGGTGGCGGGCATGACATGAGAGCCATGGGTGGCGGGCATGACATGAGAGCCATGGGTGGCGGGCATGACATGAGAGCCATGAGTGGCGGGCATGACATGAGAGCCATGAGTGGCGGGCATGACATGAGAGCCATGGGTGGCGGGCATGACATGAGAGCCATGGGTGGCGGGCATGACATGAGAGCCATGGGTGGCGGGCATGACATGAGAGCCATGGGTGGCGGGCATGACATGAGAGCCATGAGTGGCGGGCATGACATGAGAGCCATGAGTGGCGGGCATGACATGAGAGCCATGGGTGGCGTGGCGGGCATGACATGAGAGCCATGGGTGGCGGGCATGACATGAGAGCCATGAGTGGCGGGCATGACATGAGAGCCATGAGTGGCGGGCATGACATGAGAGCCATGAGTGGCGGGCATGACATGAGAGCCATGAGTGGCGGGCATGACATGAGAGCCATGAGTGGCGGGCATGACATGAGAGCCATGAGTGGCGGGCATGACATGAGAGCCATGAGTGGCGGGCATGACATGAGAGCCATGAGTGGCGGGCATGACATGAGAGCCATGAGTGGCGGGCATGACATGAGAGCCCTCGTGCGCGTCACAGCTCTGCTTGCCGCCATGCCTGTTTTCTCCGCCTTTTTCTGCCCTGCAAGCGCTGTGCTGTGCGTATATTGAGGTTGAGTTGAGGCGTCTCGAAACTCACACATCAGCTTCAACCAGGACTCGGGCCCTCCCGTCACCCCCGTTGTTGCTGCTGTTTCTACCCTGCAAGCACTGTGCGCCGTTTCTACCCTGCAAGCACTGTCATTTGCGCCACGTCCTACTGCGCCATGTCCCACTGCGCCACGTCCCACTGCGCCACGTCCCACTGCGCCACGTCCCACTGCGCCACGTCCCACTGCGCCACGTCCCACTGCGCCACGTCCCACTGCGCCACGTCCCACTGCGCCACGTCCCACTTCCCTTCCCTGCAAGTGTTGTGAGCTGTCGCTGCCCCCGTTTCTCACCCCTAGGCCCCTCACATCCATCTCATGTGCGACCAGCTCCCACACCCCGCCCCATCTGTTCTCATCTCACCCCATTCATCTTCCGCAATTGCCTGTTCCACATCACCCCTCACAGCTACCTCCTACAACAAGCTCTCAGTTCCCATCCCTACTGCTCTCGCCTCCCCGCCCTTCCTCTTTCCCCCCCACCCTCCATGCGGCTTTCCCCATGCACCCATCCCCTTTCTCCGTTGCCCCTCACAGCCAGCTGCACTACAACAAGCTCACCGGCCCCATCCCTGCTGTTCTCGGCTCGCTGCGAGCGCTGCAGATACTGTGAGTCTTCGTTGGACGCCCCCTCGCACGTCCTTAAACGCCGTGAACCCCCTAAACCCTCGCTGCTTTTGAGACGTCTCAAAAGTCGTCTCAAAAGTCGCCCCCTCGCACGTCGTTAAGCAGTGTGAACCCCCTAAACCCTCGCTGCAGATCCCGTGAGTCTTTGTTGAAAGCCCCCTCCCGCAAGTGCGTTGGCAATGTGAAAGCCCCCTACCGCAAGTGCGTTGGCAATGTGAAAGCCCCCCTGGCCTTGGAGGTGCTGTGAGTCATGCCGGCCCCTATGCGCGTGCGCGTTTGGCAGTGTGGTGTGACGTGGTGTGACGTGGTGCACTGCACTTTGATGTCACGCACTGCTTTGTAATGTCCTCTCCTGCCCAACCCCCCTCCTGCCCAACCCCTCCCAACCTCCCTCGTGCCCAACCTCCCTCGTGCCCAATTCGTGTGTGTGCCCTCCAATTCGTGTGTGTGCCCTCCAATTCGTGTGTGTGCCCTCCAATTCGTGTGTGTGCCCTCCAATTCGTGTGTGTGCCCTCCAATTCGTGTGTGTGCCCGCACCCGCCCCCCTCCTTGCAGCGAGTTGGGTTACAATCAACTCTCAGGCTCTCTGCCTTCCACCCTCGGCCTGCTGCCCTCTCTGCAAGCACTGTATGTGCTCCCATCCCACACACCTGCCACAGCAAGCACTGTATTCTCTTTAGGTCCGTATCGGTTCACTAACAAACCAAACCGGTTCTGCAAACGAATTGGAAGCCCAAGAAGCCAGTCCGGTTCGATGAAAACGGAACCGAACCACACCGAATCGAACTGCGGTTCGGTGCTGTGCTCATGCCCAATCACCATGAATCTGCTTGTCTTGACGTTTCCACATGTATGCTCGACGTTCACATGTTGTCTTGATGTATACACACTAAGTGAGATGAAAGATAGGCGTCTTTTGAGACGTCTCAAAAGACGTTCACATGTTGTCTTGATGTATACACACTAAGTGAAATGAAAGATGGTTTGCACTCCCCGTCCCCCACCCCCACTCTGTTGAAAAGCTAGAAGAGATACATTGAATAATGAGCCAAGAGGCCCTTTAGTACAAACAATGAGCAAGAGAGAGATGAAAGGGAAGCTTACCCTATTGGCCAATAAGTTGGCCAATGGGTGAGCTTGCTTGTGACCCAAGCAACCACAAATGTGTGTTGGTTGGGATTGGTTGAGCTAGGGACCAATCCCAACCAACCACAAAATGTGGTTGGAGGGTACACTAAACAACCCCCAATTTATAAGTGTACTACAGATCTAATTCTAGCCTATGTATGTTGTACAAATTATGAAATTACAACACAACCCCCCAACATGCATAAGGCTAGAAGGCTAGAATCAAGAGGCGGGAGGCGACTTAGGAGGAGTGAGGCCAAGAAGACGAAGTAGGAAAGAGTGAGCGACATGAGGAAGAGCTTTTGTGAAGATGTCGGCAAGGTTGGCCGCCGAGTCAACCTTGTCGAGCCGAAGGTGCCCCGCCTGAACAAGATCGCGAATGAAGAAATGACGGAGCTCAATGTGCTTGGAACGCCCGTGAAACACGGCATCTTTGGTGAGGTGAATGGTACTGGCATTGTCACACCAAATGGTGGGACAGCGCTGGGGGGCACCAAGTTCCTCAAGGAGGAAGGTGAGCCAGCGGGCCTCTTGCGCAGCCATGGTGGCGGCATACAACTCCGCCTCGCAGGAGGAGAGGGCGACAGCCGAGGAGCGGGTGGAGCGCCAGCTGATAAGGCCGCTGCCAAGAGAGAAGCCATAGCCCTGGGAGGAGCGACGATCTGGCTGGGAATCAGCCCAGGAGGAGTCACTGTAGCCGCTGAGGGTAGGTGGGGAGGGGCCGCCGAGGGTAAGGACATAGTCCTTGGTGCCACGAAGGTACCGGAGGACACGCTTGGCGGCCTGCCAGTGCTCTTCCGTATGCTTGCCTGCGCCAACAAAACGAGCGAGGACGCTGATGGGGTAGGCAAGGTCAGGGCGAGTGGAGACCATGGCGTACATGAGGGAGCCGATGAGCTCGGGATAAGGATGGGAGGAGGCTGAGGGGGAGGTGGGTGGAGAGAGGTGGTGCCCGACAGAAAGAGGAGTAGGTTGGGCGCCGCCGCGGACCATGTCAAACCGCTCCAAGACCTGCTGCAAGTAATGACCCTGGGAGAGAGAGATGGTGCGGGCGGAGCGATCGCGGGTGATTGTCATGCCCAGGTAATGCTGCAATTCGCCCAAGTCCTTGCACTTGAGACGGCTGCCCAACTCAGCCTTAACACGCTCCAACTCGCTGAGGTCGGCAGTGAGTAGAATCATGTCATCGACATAGACAAGGATGTAGAAGGGGGAGGGGGAGGCGCGGAGGAAGAGGCTGGCGTCAGAACGGGAGGTGCGGAATCCAAGTTCAGCAAGGGTGGCGGCAAGCTTAGCATGCCACTCCCTCGGGGCCTGTCGGAGCCCATACACAGGGCGACGCAGCTGCCAGACAGAGTCCGCAGGGAAGGGAAGGTGAAAACCGGCAGGACGCTCCATGTAGATAAGCTCGCGGAGGACGCCTTGGAGGAAGGCGTTAGAGACGTCCATCGAGTGGATCTCCATATTGAGGCGAGCGGCGAGGTCGAGCACGGCGCGAACAGTAGCGGGCTTGGCAGTGGGGGAGAAGGTATCGAAGAAGTCAAAACCATACCGCTGCGTGAACCCCTTGGCGCAGTAACGAGCCTTGTAGACGGGCGGCTCCCCTGGCAGTTGTTTGACGCGAAACACCCACTTCCCCTTCACCACGTTCGTAGAGGAGGGAGGGCGAGGCACATCAACAAAGGAGGAGTTGGCGACAAAGGCCTCCAGCTCCTTGATAATGGCGGCGAGCCAGAGTGAAGCGTCGGGGCAAGCCATGGCCTCCTCATACGTGGTAGGGATGAAAACGGAGGGAGCAGAGGAGAATGCGAAGACAGGTGTCCCAGAAAGGTCGAAGGTGATGGGTAGAAGGGAAGGGTCACAGAGGTGGAGGTCAAGGAACTCCTCATGGGAGTCCTCAGAGAGGGAGGTGTGGAAGGAGCGGATGACCGTTGGTGCCGCTGGTGCTGCTGCACGTGCCGCTGCTGGTGCCGCTGCTGGTGCCGCTGCTGGTGCCGCTGCTGGTCCTGCTGCTGGTGCCGCTGCTGGTCCTGCTGCTGGTGCCGCTGTTGGTGACGCTGCTGGTGCCGCTGCTGGTGCCGCCGCTGGTCCTGCTGCTGGTGCCGCTGCTGGTCCTGCTGCTGGTGCCGCTGCTGGTCCTGCTGCTGGTGCCGCTGCTGGTCGTGCTGCTGGTGCTGCTGCTGGCGCCGCTGCTGGAGAGGTGGCGGCGGGGGCTGCTGCAGGGGGGGGTTGATGCAGAACAGCCTGGAAGAAGTGGTGAAGGAGAGGGGAGAGTGTGGGGAGGGTGGGAAGAGGTAGAGAGGGTAACAGGGGGCGGTGCACCAAGGATACTGTCTTGTGACCTGGTATGGGGGTACCGGGTTAGTACAGTGCGGGGAGGGGGGGAAGGACGAGTCGGCAGCGAGGGAGGTGAAGGAGGGGCGGGAGGGTCACTAGGAGAGGAATGTGTGGGGGAGACGGGAGAGGACAGAGGTTCCGGGTCAAATATATCACCAGACAAGGGAGGGGCACCGTGGGACGAGGACGACGGTGGGGGAGGGGGAGGGAGGATGGGGGGAGGAGGAAGTAGAGGGGGAGGGGTGGTGTCAGACCAGACAAGGGGACGGGGAAGACGGGGGAGTGGGTCAGTGGATGGGGGAGAGGAGTAGTAAGGAGTGGACTCATCAAAGACCACATCCCTACTGCGGAATAGACGACCTGAGGGGGGATGGAGGAAAAGGTAGTCAGGTGAGGAGGAGTTATGACCAAGAAAGATGCAGGGAAGGGTACGAGGGGCAAGCTTTCCCATAGAACGGGAGCGGTCAGCGGGGTGAAGAAGGACATAAGCCTTTGAGCCCCAGACACGAAGAGATGAGACATCAGGCTTGTTGTTCGTCCACAGCTCAGTGGGGGTGGTGGATGGGAGAAGAGGGTGAGGGTAAAGGTTAGTAAGCAGGGCGGCATGAAGGAGGGCGTAGCCCCACAGAGAAGGAGGGCAGGAGGCGTGGACAAGGAGACACCGGGCAGTTTTGGTGATCTCTCGAACACGACTTTCAGCCACACCGTTCTGCTGTGGGGAGTGAGGGAGGGTGTAAGTCTGAAGAATGCCATGAGACTGGCAATAGGAGGATATTTGGTTGTTAAGGAACTCACCACCACCATCAGAGTGAAGGCGGCGAACAGGGCGCCCAAAATGGGTGTTTGCTCGCTCGAGCCAGGCGATGATCGCAGCCGGGGCATCTGCCTTCGTCCGAAGGAGAGAGACGGACGAGTACCGACTGTGATCATCGACGAGTACGAGGAGGTATCGATGGCCCTGGCGAGTGGGAGAGGGATTGGGGCCCCAGAGGTCCATGTGAACAAGATCAAGTGGCTGAGCAGCAGCGGAGGGGGAGCTCCGGTGCGGCTGCTGCTTGAGCTTGCTCTGAACGCAGACGGTGCAGGGGGGGGCAGGGGATTTGGGGAGAGGAGGGAGGGAGGAGGGGAGACCATGGAGGAGACCGGAGGAAACAGAGGAGCGTAGAGTAGCGAAGTTAGGGTGACCTAGCCTGTGATGGAGGAGGACGGCAGGGTGGGAGAGGGAGCGACAGGAGCAAGAGGAGTCAGGGGGGGGGCGTGAAGGGAGGTCCGGGTTAGTGGGAGGGAGAGGAGGGGGTGGGATGAGAGGGTGGAGGGGAGGACGAGAGATGACCTGACAGGAGGGGAGGCGAGGAACACGAAGGGTGTACAGACGGGAGCGAGGGCAAAATGGAATGCGAGAAATGAACTGACCGGTGGCGGAATGGTAGAGAGCGCAATAGTTAGCATAAGCTGGGAATACTGTGGTGATACCGGCTTGTTGAAGGGACCTTTGCGAGAGGAGATTAGCGCGAAGAGAGGGTATGTGGAGACCGGTGACAGTGCCTGAGGGGAAGAGTGGGCAGGGGAGAGTCGAGGTGTTATGGCAGGGGATAGAGAAGCTGCTATCGGCGCCAAGGAGGGAGGTAGGCGTTGGGAGGGGGCGCAAGGTGCCAGCATCGCGAAGAACTGTGTCAGTGGCGCCGCTGTCAAGGACAAAGTCGACAGTGGAGGGGAGGGAGGAGGAAGGGACAGAGGACTGGAACGCAGTTTCTTTAGTGCTAGAGGAGTATGTGGCAGGGGCAGCTGATGTGGCTTGATTGACCATACCAGCAATACCAACGGATGAGAGAGGTGGGACATTGCTTGAAGTGGCGGAGCTTGTGGAACAATGCGGAACTGAGTTCTGCTGGGAAGTTGGGGGAGGAGGAGGAAGAGGCAGCTGCGCTTGTGCGCTAAGGTGCTGCTGCAGGCGGTGAAGCAACTGCTGGAGCTGGAGGAGGAGGTGCCAGAGCTGCTGGTGCTGGTGCTGCTGCTGCTGCTGCTGGTGCTGCTGCTGCTGCTGGTGCCGGTGCTGCTGCTGCTGCTGCTGCTGCTGCTGCTGCTGCTGCTGCCGCTGCCGCTGCCGCTGCTGCTGCTGCTGCTGCTGCTGCTGCTGCTGCTGCTGCTGCGGCTGCTGCTGCTGCTGCTGCTGCTGCTGCTGCTGCTGCTGCTGAGGAGGAGGAGGAGAGAAGGGTGGACTCGGGGCATGGTGGGCTTGGGTGGAGATTTTGCACTGAAGTCCCCGAGTCGGGCCATAGCGAGGCACATATTCACGAGGAGAGAAGGCTGCTGCTGCGCCGCAGCCTGCGCTCAAACCCCTGATACCACAATATCCTGCGAGTCTCCCTTGACCACCACCACAGCTACCACTATGCCCTCCTCCATGCCCACCGGCACCACTTCTGCTGCATGCCAGGGCGACTATTGCCATGGAGGGAGCAATGTGAGTGTGGGCGGTTACGGCATGGCGCAGGCGAGCAGGGCATGAAGGTGTGCGGTATGCGTTTGCAAATGTGCGGTATGCCGGGGAGGTGGGCAGGGGGCGGACGAGGGGACGGGGGACAGCGAGCGGGGAAGGAGGGCGTGCGACGAGTGCGCGGACGGGGAGGGCGCGGACGAGCAGGGCGCGCGGACGGGCAGGGCGCGGACGAGCAGAGCGCGCGGACGGGCAGGGCGCGGACGAGCAGGGCGTGCGGACGGGCAGGGCGCGGACGAGCAGGGCGTGCGGACGGGCAGGGCGCGGACGAGCAGGGTGTGCGGACGGGCTGGGCGCGGACGCGAAGGGCGGACGAGCAGGGCGCGCGGACGGGCACGGCGCGGACGAGCAGGGCGCGCGGACGGGCACGGGCCGGACGAGCAGGGCGTGCGGACGGGCAGGGCGCGGACGAGCAGGGCGTGCGGACGGGCAGGGCGCGGACGAGCAGGGCGTGCGGACGGGCAGGGCGCGGACGAGCAGGGCGTGCGGACGGGCAGGGCGCGGACGAGCAGAGATGGGCGCGAAATGGTCAGATTTCAGCGCGGGAGATGCAGATCTGGTCGCGCGGAGGGCAGATCTGGGCGCGCGGAGGGCAGATCTGGGCGCGCGGAGTGCAGATCTGGACGTGCGGAGGGCAGATCTGGGTGGGCGGAGTGCAGATCTGGGCGCGCGGAGTGCAGATCTGGGTGCGAAATGTTCAGATCTGGGCGCGGGAGGAGGAGATCTGGTGGCGCGGAATCCAGATCTGGGCGCGGAATGATCAGATCTAGGCGCGGGAGGAGTAGATCTGGTCGCAGGGAGTGCAGATCTGGGCGCTGGAGTTGCAGATCTGAGCGCGGGGAATGCAGATCTGGGCGCTGGAGTTGCAGATCTGAGCGCGGGGAATGCAGATCTGGGCGCTGGAGTTGCAGATCTGGACGTGCCTTGGAGGGCAGCGCCTTAGGGGGCGCACGGGGAGGGAGGACAGCGCCTTAAGGGTGCGTGAAGGGAGGGCAGCTCCGTGGGTGGGGCTAGATCTGAGGAACGGGGAGGAATAGATGTGAGCTCGGGAGGAGTAGATCTAAGCTCGGGAGGAGTAGATGTGAGCTCGGGAGGAGTAGATCTGAGCTCGGGAGGAGTAGATCTGAGCTCGGGAGGAGTAGATGTGAGCTCGGGAGGAGTAGATCTGAGCTCGGGAGGAGTAGATCTGAGCTCGGGAGGAGTAGATGTGAGCTCGGGAGGAGTAGATCTGAGCTCGGGGGGGATAGATCTGAGCTCGGGAGGAGTAGATGTGAGCTTGGGAGGAGTAGATCTGAGCTTGGGACGAGTAGATGTGAGCTCGGGAGGAGTAGATCGGAGCTCGAGAGGAGTAGATCTGAGCTTGGGAGCACCGTAGTAGGACTAGGTCTGAGGGACGGGGAGGAGAGGGTGGCCTTAGGATCGAGGGATTAAGGCGTGAGCCAATAGCTCATGATACCATGTTGAAAAGCTAGAAGAGATACATTGAATAATGAGCCAAGAGGCCCTTTAGTACAAACAATGAGCAAGAGAGAGATGAAAGGGAAGCTTACCCTATTGGCCAATAAGTTGGCCAATGGGTGAGCTTGCTTGTGACCCAAGCAACCACAAATGTGTGTTGGTTGGGATTGGTTGAGCTAGGGACCAATCCCAACCAACCACAAAATGTGGTTGGAGGGTACACTAAACAACCCCCAATTTATAAGTGTACTACAGATCTAATTCTAGCCTATGTATGTTGTACAAATTATGAAATTACAACACACTCTACCCCTCTATCCCCTCCGCATCCCTTTCAGCAACCCCACAGGCTCACTGCCCGCCTCTCTTCCACATCTCGCCTCGTCTCCCCATTCAACCCCCTCCCATTCCCCCATCCTTCCCTCTCCACCCCCTCATCTCCCCCCCTCATCTCCCCCCTCATCTCCCCCCCTCATCTCCCCCCCTCATCCCGCCTCCCCCCGTACAGCCGCGTCTTATTCAGCAGCAGCATCACGGGTTCCCTGCCCGCCTCTTTCCCGCGCGCCTTTTCTCGCCTCTCTTCCCCATTCAACCTTTTCGGGCCTCTCTTCCCCATTCAACCTTCTCCCACTCCCCCATCCCTCCCTCCTCACCCCCTTATCTCTGCCCCTCACCCTCTCCCCCCCTCCTGTTTCCCGCCCGCCATTCAACCTTCTCTGCCCCTCACCCTCTCCCTCCCTCCAGCCGCATCCCTTTCAGCAACACCACGAGTTCCTGTCCGCCTCTCTCTCGTGCCTCTCCTCCCCCTCTTTGAACCTTCTCCCATCCCTGCAAACCTTCCTCGCACCCATCCCTCGCACCCATCCCTTCCTTCCCCCTCCCCCTCCCCCCATTACAGCCGCATCCCCTTCAGCAAAATCGCAGGGTCCCTGCCAGCCTCCCTCTCGCGCCTCTCAGCGCTGAGTTCGCTGCTACTGACGGAAAACCTTATTGCTGGCCCCCTCCCCGCCAACCTCTCGGCACTCACCGCTCTTACCGAGCTGTGAGTGGCCTTGTCTTGCCAGCACTGCCAGCACTGCCAGCACTGCAAGCACTGCCAGCACACAATCTCTCTGACGCCTCTCCTTGCTGAGTTCACTGCGCCTCACGCAGAACCTTCTCTCTGGCCCCCTCCCTGCCAACCTCTCAGCATTCACCGCGCTAGCTGAGCTGTGAGTGATCTTGTTCCGCCAGCACTGCCTAAGAATCGAGCATTGTACACACAAGGCAATGGTAGGTGTGACAATGTTGCCTATGTCTGACAGCAACGCTAGGGGTGACAATGTTGCCTACGTCTGACAGCAATGGTAGGTGTGACAATGTTGCCTACGTCTGACAGCAATGGTAGGTGTGACAATGTTGCCTACGTCTGACAGCAATGGTAGTTGTGACAATGTTGCCTACGTCTGACAGCAATGGTAGGTGTGACAATGTTGCCTACGTCTGACAGCAACGGCAGGTGTGACAATGTTGCCTACGTCTGACAGCAACGGTAGGTGTGACACTTGTCGCTTTCCTCTGGCAGGAATCTGGCAAAGAATCAATTCAACGGCTCTCTCCCTGCCTCATGGAGTGCGCTCTCCTCGCTTGTCGAGCTGTGAGTGCCGTGTGTGCACCCATGGAGATGGGTGCTTGTGCACGTGCGCATGTGTGTTTGTTTGTGGCTGTGTGTTTGTTTGTGGCTGTGCGTGTGTGTGTGCGTGTGTGTGTGTGTGTGTGTGCGTGTGCGTGTGCGTGTGCGTGTGCGTGTGTGTGTGTGTGCTTGTGTGTGTGTGGGGTGTGGTGTGGATGGATGGGCAGGTGTGTGTGTGTGTGCGCGCGCTCGCACGCGCGTGCGTGTGTGCGTGTGTGTGTGTGTGTGTGTGTGTGTGGATGTGTTTGTGTGTGTGTGCGTGTGTGTGCGTGTGGGCGTGTGTGTGGATGTGTGTGTGTGTGTGCGTGTGTGTGTGTTTGTGTGTGGATGTGCGTGTGTGCGTGCGTGTGTCGGATGTAGTGTGGATGGAAGTGCATGTGTGTGCGGCATGCGAGTGCGTGCGTGTGTTTTCATACTTGTAGCCCATCCGAACCTTATCTTTCATGCCCGAACATACATTCCATTAAGGGTGTCCAGTCAATCCCTTGACACTCCAACCCCTCCCCCCTCTTCCCCACAGGCCCATGTCCCTCCCACCTCCCCACGTGCCCACACCCCAACACCTCAACACACTCCCTCTCCAAGTCGTCACATCACATCCCCCATCCCTCGTCCCCCATCCCCTTGCCCCCTGTCAGCACGCACTCTGTTTGTTTGAATCTTTTGAAAAGCACTCCCTCGTCCGCCCCTCCTCCTTCCTTCCCCCCTTCCTTTCCCCCTTCCTTTCCCCTTCCTTTCCTTCCCCCTTCCTCATTCGTGTCAATATGCACTCAGTAAACGCCATGCCAGTGGCAAGCGTTCCTTGCTCCCCCACACCTCCCTCCACCTCCCCCACACCTCCCTCCACCTCCCTCCACACCTCCCCCACACCTCCCCCACACCTCCCTCCACCTCCCCCACACCTCCCTCCACCTCCTCCACACCTCCCTCCACCTCCTCCACACCTCCCTCCACCTCCCCCACACCTCCCTCCACCTCCCCCACACCTCCCTCCACCTCCCCCACACCTCCCTCCACCTCCCCCACACCTCCCTCCACCTCCCCCACACCTCCCTCCACCTCCCCCTCCACACCTCCCTCCACCTCCATCACCCGTGCCACCCTCTAATCCCCTCTGCCCCTCTCTGCCGTCCCCTGTTCCCCGCTGCTCCTCCCTTCCAACCTCCTGCCCCCCTCCTCCCACCACCACCAAGCTGTCCGTGAATCATCTCAGCCAGCCACGTGGAGCAACCTCGCATCTCTCAGGCAGCTGATGCCTCCCTACTTTTGAGACGTCTCAAAAGCAAACTCGCATGCACTCCTTTGCCCCCACCGCCACCGGCAGCTGATGCTTCCCCACCAGCAAGCTGTCCGTGAATGCACTCACCGGCGTGCTGCCAGCCTCTGGAACAAGCTCTCGTCGCTCAGGCAGCCGTCACTCAGGCAGCCGTCGCTCAGGCAGCCGTCGCCTCCTCACACTTCTTCAGTTCCCCTCTCCTGCCTCCCCATCCCAAACCCTGCTCCCCCTGCCCAACCCCCTGCCCAACCCCCTGCCTAACCCCCTTTGGCTTCCTCCCTGCCTGCCATGCTCCCCCTGCGCAACCCCCCACTACCAGCAAGCTGTCCGTGAATGCTCTCAGCGGCACGCTGCCAGCCTCGTGGAGCAAGCTCTCGTCCCTCAGACAGCTAGCGGTAGCCAGCAACAACATCACAGGGCCCTTCCCCTCCTTCCTGTTCTTGCTGCCAAACATTGAGGGAATGTGAGTGGGTGGAGAGACTAGGTGAGAGGGGGGTGTGAGTGGGTGGAGAGACTAGGGGAGAGGGGGGTGTGAGTGGGTGGAGAGACTAGGGGAGAGGGGTGTGTGAGTGGTTTAGAGCTCACCTCTCGGCGCTCAGACAGCTGGCGGCCGCCAGCAACAACAGCCTCACAGGGCCCTTCCCACCCCTCTATCCTTCTCGGCCTCGCTGCCCAATATCGAGGAAATGTGAGAGCGTGGGTCCAACGAATGAGGGAAGGGGGGTGTGGTGTGTGGGCTTCCGCTGCTGCTGCTGCCCTGCCGCTGCCACCAATGATGCTGCTGCTTCTTCCGCCACTGCCATACTCATTGCCGCGTTAGGGTGGCCTCTTACTGCTATTCCACACTTGCCACCCTTCTGTCGGCCCTGATCATGCCTCTGTCTGCCTGCCTGTCTGCCTGTGTGCCTGTGTGCCTGTCTGCCTGTGTGCCTGTCTGCCTGTGTGCCTGTCTGCCTGTGTGCTTGTCTGCCTGTCTGCTTCTCTCCCTGTCTCCCATTTTGTCCGCCTGTCTGCCTGTCCGCCTGTCTGTCTGTCTGTCCGCCTGTCTGCCTGTGTGCCTCTGCCCCCTGCAGCTACCTAAGCAGCAACAGCATGTACGGTCCGGTGCCGCCCAACATCACCATCTCCCCCAGCGTCACAACCCTGTGAGTCACCCCACTGTCACAACTGTTCCATGCCACGCCATACCATGCCGCCATACCATGCCATGCCGCCATACCATGCCATGCCGCCATACCATGCCATGCTGCCATTCCATGCCATGCCGCCATACCATGCCATGCCATGCTAACCACAGGCCATTATTTTGTCTCATTCCCCCAATCGATATCTCCCCAATTTATGTCTCGTCATGTCTCGTGGCACACGGGCATTGCTGTATTTCCCCTGTATTCCCCAATCATATCTCCCCTTTGTGGATATCTCCCCTATGTGGATATCTCCCCTATCGATACCTCCCCCCCCAGGGACATCGGGCTGAACTACTTCAATGGCTCTGTGCCGCCCGCACTGGACCAGCCCGGCTTCACGTGAGTCAATGCAGGCAGCTGAGCTATAGCGATCAGGTTACCAGGCAATCAGGTTACCAGGCAATCAGGTTACCAGGCAATCAGGTTACCAGGCAATCAGGTTACCAGGCAATCAGGTTACCAGGCAATCAGGTTACCAGGCAATCAGGTTACCAGGCAATCAGGTTACCAGGCAATCAGGTTACCAGGCAATCAGGTTACCAGGCAATCAGGTTACCAGGCAATCAGGTTACCAGGCAATCAGGTTACCAGGCAATCAGGTTACCAGGCAATCAGGTTACCAGGCAGTCAAGTTACCAGGCAATCAGGTTACCAGGCAATCAGGTTACCAGGCAATCAGGTTACCAGGCAATCAGGTTACCAGGCAATCAGGTTACCAGGCAATCAGGTTACCAGGCAATCAGGTTACCAGGCAATCAGGTTACCAGGCAATCAGGTTACCAGGCAATCAGGTTACCAGGCAATCAGGTTACCAGGCAATCAGGTTACCAGGCAATCAGGTTACCAGGCAATCAGGTTACCAGGCAATCAGGTTACCAGGCAATCAGGTTACCAGGCAATCAGGTTACCAGGCAATCAGGTTACCAGGCAATCAGGTTACCAGGCAATCAGGTTACCAGGCAATCAGGTTACCAGGCAATCAGGTTACCAGGCAATCAGGTTACCAGGCAATCAGGTTACCAGGCAATCAGGTTACCAGGCAATCAGGTTACCAGGCAATCAGGTTACCAGGCAATCAGGTTACCAGGCAATCAGGGAGGCGGTAATCCAAGTCACCAGATAACTGGTGGTAATGGTACCCAGTTAAGCAAATGCCGGTAACGGGAAAGGCCTCGATGGTTATGCAATTGATGGTTCTAACAGCTGTGGTCAACCGTAGGCCTCGTGTTTAGGGTTTGTTTTTTATCACGCCTTGTGTCACCATCTCCTGCTCTCCTGATGTCACCCCAAGCAAGTGTCATGTTTGAGTTCTTAGTTTGATTCATCATGCCTCATGTGTGCTGGTCCATCCTAGCTTCCCTCTCATGACGTAAAATGTCTTCCCACCCTTCTCACTTCTCTCCCTGGGCCCCCTTGTGGGCCCACACCACACCACACCACACTCCACCGCACCACATCACACCACACCACCTTCCACCACCCCACCCCGACACACCACACCACCACCCCATGTTGCACCACACCACACCGTACTCCACCGCACCGCTTCAGCTTTGTGGACAACTGTTTCAACGAGACGGGCAGCACCAATCAGAAGCAGCAAAACAGCACCACCTGCAACATATTCTACAACCTGCTCTACCCCCCACCCCCTCCCGGTACGCCCCCTTTCCCATATGCTCCCCCCCCTTCCCATATGCGCCCTCTTCTTCCCATATGCGCCCTCCCCTTCCCATATCCGCCGTCCCCTTCCCATATGTGCCGTCCCCTTCCCATATGCGCCGTCCCCTTCCCATATGCGCCCTCCCCTTCCCATATCCTATGTCCCCTTCCCATGTGCGCCGTCCCCTTCCCATATGCGCCGTCCCCTTTCCATATGCGCCGTCCCCTTCCAATATGCGCCATCCCCTTCCCATATGCCAGTGGTGGTGGTGGTAGACATGAGCACAAGGGCGAACATCTGCTCGGTTCGCCTCGAATATGTTTGTGGCGAACGAAACTTGTCATTTTCTTTTTCCAAAAATGTTCGGTCGAACATGTTGGATGTCCGCGGATTTGGAGGCAGCCAATCACGAACGTCGAACATGTTCGGAGTTCGCAGATTTGGTAGCCACAATTTTCAAGCCTAGATGGTTTTTGAGGCACAGATGGCGACACACGGCCCTGGAGGTGGAAGGGGGAGGGGGAGAGGTGACGGGGTGATAGAATTTCAAGTTGTTGATGTCATTAGGAAAAACGTGGGTACATATAGGAGAGAAACGTGAGGGTTACTTGGAGAGGTGCCCAAAGAATTCTTGGTGGACCAATAAGAGTGGTCACCAACTTTGGGCTGACCTTCAATTATTGGAGGGACCAATAATGGTTGGGATGAACCAACCAAGTTGATTTTCCCCCTTCAAATGCGGTCGAGTGGGTTTGGGGTGTACCCAACCAAACCTGGACCAAAGTGTACACCCACAGTGGGCGTAACACTCGCACCAATATAAACTGACATATGCTATATTCTAACACGGGGGAGGAGCTGCCCACTGAAAACACACTTCGAACCCAGACATGTTCGGTTCGCGGGTTCGCGGGTACGCCCTAACATGCAGATGTTCGCCCCAACATGCAGATGTTCGCCCCAACATGCAGATGTTCGCCCCAACATGCAGATGTTCGCCCCAGCATGCAGATGTTCGCCCCAGCATGCAGATGTTCGCCCCAGCATGCAGATGTTCGCCCCAGCATGCAGATGTTCGCCCCAGCATGCAGATGTTCGCCCCAGCATGCAGATGTTCGCCCCAACATGCAGATGTTCGCCCCAACATGCAGATGTTCGCCCCAACATGCAGATGTTCGCCCCAACATGCAGATGTTCGCCCCAACATGCAGATGTTCGCCCCAACATGCAGATGTTCGCCCCAACATGCAGATGTTCGCCCCAACATGCAGATGTTCGCCCCAACATGCAGATGTTCGCCCCAACATGCAGATGTTCGCCCCAACATGCAGATGTTCGCCCCAACATGCAGATGTTCGCCCCAACATGCAGATGTTCGCCCCAACATGCAGATGTTCGCCCCAACATGCAGATGTTCGCCCCAACATGCAGATGTTCGCCCCAACATGCAGATGTTCGCCCCAACATGCAGATGTTCGCCCCAACATGCAGATGTTCGCCCCAACATGCAGATGTTCGCCCCAACATGCAGATGTTCGCCCCAACATGCAGATGTTCGCCCCAACATGCAGATGTTCGCCCCAGCATGCAGATGTTCGCCCCAGCATGCAGATGTTCGCCCCAACATGCAGATGTTCGCCCCAACATGCAGATGTTCGCCCCAACATGCAGATGTTCGCCCCAACATGCAGATGTTCGCCCCAACATGCAGATGTTCGCCCCAACATGCAGATGTTCGCCCCAACATGCAGATGTTCGCCCCAACATGCAGATGTTCGCCCCAACATGCAGATGTTCGCCCCAACATGCAGATGTTCGCCCCAACATGCAGATGTTCGCCCCAACATGCAGATGTTCGCCCCAACATGCAGATGTTCGCCCCAACATGCAGATGTTCGCCCCAACATGCAGATGTTCGCCCCAACATGCAGATGTTCGCCCCAACATGCAGATGTTCGCCCCAACATGCAGATGTTCGCCCCAACATGCAGATGTTCGCCCCAACATGCAGATGTTCGCCCCAACATGCAGTTGTTCGCCCCAGCATGCAGATGTTCGCCCCAACATGCAGATGTTCGCCCCAGCATGCAGATGTTCGCCCCAACATGCAGATGTTCGCCCCAACATGCAGATGTTCGCCCCAACATGCAGATGTTCGCCCCAACATGCAGATGTTCGCCCCAACATGCAGATGTTCGCCCCAACATGCAGATGTTCGCCCCAACATGCAGATGTTCGCCCCAACATGCAGATGTTCGCCCCAACATGCAGATGTTCGCCCCAACATGCAGATGTTCGCCCCAACATGCAGATGTTCACCCCAACATGCAGATGTTCGCCTGTCACAAACCTGGAACACCCCCTAATGACCAAAAATTGTTTAGGTGAACTGAACATGTTTGGTGTGCGCCCATTGCGCATATCTAGGTGATGGTTCTCGTGCTACCAATGCTGTCAAGGTTGCTGGACTCTCTTGCTTCCCTGCTACGCCCTTCTGCAGCCCCACCATCCCAGGCGGTGGTAACGGTTCCGTCCTCTGCCTTCCTCGTCGCAGCGTGCTACTGCTGCTGCTGCTGCTGCCGCTGCTGCCGCTGCTGCTGCTGCTGCCGCTGCTGCTGCTGCTGCCGCTGCTGCCGCTGCTGCCGCTGCTGCCGCTGCTGCCGCTGCTGCCGCTGCTGCCGCTGCTGCCGCTGCTGCGGCTGCTGCGGCTGCTGCGGCTGCTGCCGCTGCTGCCGCTGCTGCTGCTGCCGCTGCTGCTGCTGCTGCTGCTGCCGCCGCCGCCGCCGCCGCCGCCGCTGCTGCTGCTGCTGCTGCTTCTAAGTTCTGTTAGAATTGAACCGTTAAGTTGATTAGGAATCAAGAGGGCTTACATAGTTGAAGCTAGGGAAGGTGGGTTGGTTGGGTACCTAGCCAACATTATTGGCCCCCACCAATAAGTTGGGTTGGAGAATTATTGGGGGTCCCAATAATGTTGGCCAAAGTGAGCCAACATTATTGGGGGGGCCAATAATCTCCCAACCCAACCTTGGGGGCCAATAATTGGACCAAGGTTGGGTTCCAACCCCCAACTAGGGTTAACCCTAGTTTGTGCACCCAAACATGAGTTGGGTGCTTATCTCTATCCTAGGGTTTATAGGATCAATGCAGGATACAAAAGAGTAGTATAATCTAACACAACCCCTTAGCCTGCAGAGATCCATAAACCTGGATGAGATAAGACAGCAACCCCTGAATCAGTCACCTTGGGGAGCAAGGCCCAGGAGGGGTAAGATTGCCGAGTGAGTAGCGCGATCGAGGGCCTTAGTGAATATGTCGGTGGGGTTAGAGGAGGAGTCGATCTTGCGCACGGTAATGTGGCCATCCTGGACAAGGTCGCGGATGAAGTAGTGTCGGAGCTCGATATGTTTAGAGCGACCATGAAAAACAGCTTCTTTGGTGAGGTGGATGGTGCTGGCGTTGTCACACCAGAGGGTGGGACAGGGCTGTGGTGAGCCAAGGTCTGTGAGGAGATAACTGAGCCAGCGTGCTTCTTGTGCTGCCATCGTGACCGCGTACAGTTCGGCCTCACAGGAGGAGAGGGCGATGGCGGAGGAGCGGGTGGAGCGCCAGCTGATAAGGCCGCTCCCAAGTGTGAAGCCATATCCCTGTGAGCAGCGACGGTCAGGCTGCGAGTCTG